CTTCTTTTGATATAACTTCTAAAGTCGTTCTTTGTGTATGCGTCGCTTTTTACATGCAGACACTTATGCATGTATATATTTTTAAAATGCATTTTTAGGATGAATTGATATATAGAACATGTTTCTATCTTTGATAAGGTTTCGGTTTTTGTAGGATGAATGAGGTCTTCTATGATATAAGAATTTATCATGAAACGGTACCATGATTTAGATATGCGGACTCAAGGACCTTAGTACCTAGAGTTAATTACTCATACAGGAGTAAAAGTAATAGAAATTGCACATATAGGAGTGCAGACGGTAATATAGTTTAGTAGGAGTAAAATATACATGGGTGGACCAAAATAACCCTAAACTAATTATGAGTAGAAATTGGATAAGTGGTGCCAGAACGGGAAGGACAATTCGCAGTGAAGAACTTCTCTCTCATGCCATTTCTTGCCGCCCGCCGTCATATCCCTCCAGCGCCTCCCTCACAGGTGTTACCAACCATTGTCGCTTAGACCGGATTTACCATCCGCCGCCGCCGCTCTGGTTATCGTAATCACCTTTTATAATATATGTCGCCACTGCCAATTCCTAGATTTGCATAATATATGTTACCGGAGAACTTCAATGTCATAATTCTGCCATTAAAGTAGCAAATTTAGCATTGAAAATTTAATTTCAAATTTGCATGAACAAGAATTTCGAATCTGGCATAAAGTTGATAGATTTATTTTGGAATATTAATTCAAAACTGCCATTAATTTGGCAAAAATATGAACTCAATAACCATAAACTCAAAAATTATTATTTCTAATGGAATAACCTCTTTAAACAATAGGAAATCAGAAAAATGAAGTTAATTACAAAATATCATAAGAACATGTTCACAAAAAAGTATTTCTTCCATATTAGGATTATCAATCTACAAACTTCTTCCATAAACTTGGCAGAATATGAAGTTTTGTTACTATAACTTGGCAGAATCTGAAGTTATCTTCCAAAATTTTAGAAAATCATTTTTTTTTAAACTAAGAACTCAGAAATCGGAAGTGTTAAATAGAAATGTGAAAATTGGAAAAATCAATTCAAATCCAGAAAAACAAAGAAATATGAGTATAATAAAAAAAATTATGTCAATACTCAGAAAAATAGAAGGAGAGGAGAAGAAGGAACCTCATAGGCGGTGGTGCATGGTGAAGTAGCGGCGGCGTGAAAGAGCAAGAAGTTGATCGATGTTATGTCATATGTGTGCAAGCTGATTCGGCAATAATGAGCAGGGGAGGGGCGTGTTCAAGAGAAAAGGGGGAAAGAGGGATATCTGGCAGGAGATAAGAGAGAATCATACGTGTGAGAAGCTAGGGAGAAGAAAATATCAACGCAGGGAGAAGAGGATAAGGGGATAAGGGGTAATAATGGGATGCTAAATTCTTATGTTTTCAATAGGAGTAAATTGCTCCTATTTGAGGAAAAAAACATACATACTCCTATTTAAGAATTTCATAATACTTTTACTCCTATATGGGGCAATTTCTCTAGTACCTAACATTCGTTTTTGAAACGAGACAAAAGCATACCATATTGAAATCTTTTCGAAAATATTAAAGCATTCAAGGATTCTTGAGATATGTGTTTTTGTTAAGGGGAAAGTAATTTAAATATCCTAAATTTTGAAGAGGTGTGAAATACGTTTCTCAAATTTGTACATGTGATATATATATATATATATATATATATATATATATATATATATATATATATATATATATATATATATATATATATATATATATTGGTTCAAATAAGAACACGATCTTATGAGAAAAATGAGAACGAATCTGGACCGTTAGATTTGTCTCAAGTGAAATTCAGTGTGCATTAGATGAAACTGTAACGTGCATTAGGTGAAATTGAAATGTGCATCACAAAGGGTACGATAGAGTGACATTATGTGCAGTTGAATTGTGCATTACGTGAAATTGAAATGTGCACTAGGTGAAGCTGAAATGTGCAGAATAAAAAGTACGATGTGATGTTATTTTTGTACTTTTTTTTCGCATATATCAGTTTCATCTAATGCACACTTGAGTTTAAATTTTTATTTTGCACATTTCAATATCATTTAATGCACATTTCAGTTTCACCAAATGCACAATTTAGTTCCACATAATACAATCCAACGGTCCAGATTCGTTCTCATTTTTCTCCTAAGATCTGTTCTTACCGGAACCGCTCCCTATATATATATATATCAAACTTTATTTAAAGAGTCATATTGACACCATGATCACATAGTGTTTCACAAATATAATTTTATGGTGTTATGTACACAATATAAAATACACAAAACACAAATCAGTTATGAAGATGCAATTAAAACTAAATTGAACCGGATATAATATTATTATTTCACAAATTAAATTTTAGAATGTTAATTGCATTCTAACAAAGCATAGATTATTTTAAATCATGTACGTAGTCATTCCAATAAATTTGTATTTGTAAAAAAACACACAATCATGGTGCGAAAATATTTTTTTATATAAAGTTCGGGGTATTAACACTTGTCGTAGTTCGGAGGATGACGAGCACTTTGTCGTAGTGCGTCAAAATAAATTGATACTAACACTTATACGTAGTGTAGGTGAAGTAGAGTTCGTATCCACAGGGAAATGAATAATTCTCTTTTTAATAAAACTAGTAAATAAAAGGGGGGGTTTGGGATTGTTGGAATTAATTTAATTGAACACTAAAATGAACAACTTATATGTGATTTAATTCAAGAATAAAAAGGATGTGATCTTGCTGCTTTCCACGTGTTGATATATTTTAGTCGATCATTGTTATATCTATAACTTATCTCCTCTCGAATACTCAATCAAGGAGTATCTCCAATTCATCGAGGGTAGTTATTAACAGTGACCGTTCATTAATAACCCTTACTATTAGTCAAGTATAGAACACCGCCATATACCGACTTGATAGTAGCATTAATCTCTTAACTCCTTGATGAAATCAATTGAGATTGATAACCTCAACACAACGGTTTCAGTTTAACCAACACAATTCATTCCTCTTATGTTTATTAACCACGACTGTGCATTAATAAACCGAAGTTACTTACTTGTGAAACCATCAACGATTAACCATCGGTTCGTTGATCATTTCTAGTACTAATTAATGTCCAGATGTTAGCTAATTGTCATCTTAGCAACACTCCCCAACATTAATATAGAGATAGATTAAGGGAAGAATTAATATTCAAGGGAAGAAGTTAAGAAAATAACTCACAACTTTAATAATCAACAAGGTTCAAGAGCAACACCAAGAAATGGCAGTTTAGCTCTTTATTTGGAGACTAAACATGCTATAAAAATATAAAAGAAAATACTATTCTAAGTTGAGCTTAAGAGTATGGAAGGAGTGAAAATTAGTGAAGGAAAAGTGTGTTATTTATAGGTGTTTTCAACACCTTTGGCTGGGTACCCGACCGGGGTACCGGTCAAAATCAAATATTTCTCCAGGTTCTTGTGTTTCAGCACGTCGTTTTGTCTCGGATCACATCTGACCCGACCGGGTGATTTTGAGGACCCGACTGGGTGATGTAGAGGACCCGACCGGGTCAGGCAATTTCCTGAGCATCTTCGGTTTTCACTTCTTACCCGACCGGGTGCAGGTCCTACCCGGTCGGGTTTTAGCTCCTGGGCAGTCAAAAATCATTTTTCTTCACTTCAAAGTCCTCCTTTCCAACACCATAATTCCTAACTCTACTTTACAACTTACAAATGAAGATTAAAATACAATTACAACTAAAATCACACAAATGTTTACAAACTAAATAAAACGGTAAACAATCCACACAAATCAAACATAAAAACATACATTTATGCACTACTAATTAGTGCATATCAATGGACTGGGCACAGATGGCCCGAATCGGGACCGAACTGAGACTGGTACTGGTCTGGGGCCGGTTTGCAGGGACTGGTATCGGCCCGGTACACGGACAGGTGGTTATAATGGACGGGCTTCGGGCAATACCACTCGGGCCCGTCTTGGGTCCATCCCTAACTTGTAGGAAATTCTAATTGAATACTAAAAGTGCCGCTCACAAATTTGTCAAGGACTAAAAAGGAAAAAATTGAAAGTCGAGTACCAAGTGTCACTGACACTAGTTGAAAGATTGAAAGTGAAAAAACTCTTCATTACAATGCTTATATCTTACTCAATATATAATATTTACAATTATATAACAAACTGACAATTGACAAAGTGTCAAACATGCCCCAACTAAGTTGCAAATTATATCATACAGTCGGTTGTACTGTGCGTACGGTACAGCCGGGCTTTCAGTTCGAAGTTTGTAGATCGCTAGCTTCCATCGCTGTTTGTTAGCTGCTCATTCGATCATTCGCACTTCGTTGTTCGTTGGCTGCTCATCACTCACCGTTGTGCAAAGACGACAGACTGGCCACTCGCAATCCTCCCGCAAGAACGCAACACTCAGACTCCTGCTTGTATAGGGCTAGTTGCACTCTTTTTTTGCACTCTTTTCCTTTTATTCTTTTTCTTACATAGGTTTGCTAAGTTTGATCACTTGTTGGCTGCAGCTTAGAAGAAACCCAAGTTGCACGTAGTTGTACATATATGATATATGAGCATGCAAAAAATTTGAGCATAATAAACATTTTTAATGAGTTTGATTTTTTCAATGCTCATTTCGTAATTTATGTGTGTTCGTTTGATATTGATGTACTACTCATTTTAAAATGTCATATTCATGCATATATCAAAAGTATAATATTACATTAAATTCACATCTTGGATTCATACGAATTTATTGTAGATATTTTTAAAAATAAGAAAAAGAAAATGAATATAAGATATGAAACCAATATCACAAATTCACAATACTCATTATTACACTCTCAATACTCAATAGAATAGATCTAATGCTCATTAAACATGAATTAATGCTCATTTGTCGAAACTCCAACTAAAGAAATTTAAAGCACTTGGCAAAAAAAATTTTTAAGCACTTGTATATTCAAACATGACAGTAATAGCTTATTAATGATATTTTAAAATTTTAAAAACAAAGTACGAGAGACTATGAATACGCAATGAATGAAGGCTATTCCTAGCTGGACCTCCTAAGAGTTCTGATTTCTGAACCTACACTTTGCTCCACCAGTTACCCAGTGCGCTCCTACAAACAAATCAACCAAAAAACAGCATATTGCTGGTACTAATGTTGAAGCGGGAAACAAATGGCGCACAAAAAAAGTTGTACCCTAATGTGCTCAGCGTTTACATCTTCAAAGCTCAAAATGGCCTATGGTATTGAAAACATAAAATAAAAAAAAAAAATACTGTACATAATCCATCTATTATCCACCAAAGAAATAAGATACTATGGGAATTTTTCTGACTAGGCATGACGATAATCACACCGAGACCCTTTCCTACACCGTCTATCTGTATTGTAGGGGCATAGCATTTGACGTTTATTAAACCCTCCTCTAGGTGGACCACCACCTGATGCCTGTCTATTATTCCAAGACCTTCCATCATTGAAGCCAGTAGTATTATCTCCACCCTGAGGGCAATTGTCTCTAGGACCTGAAGCAGTTGGGGTAGCCCAACCCGGATTTGCATTAGGGGGAGCCATGGCTGGAACACTGGGATTACCGGCCATTGGTTGTGGGACCCACCCGGGATTCATATTCACCTGAAACGGTCCAGTAGGCATTACCCAACCTGGATTCACATTGGGTGCGGCCATTGCTTGAACAGGGGCTCCCCAATTCATATTCATAGCTGGTGCAGGCCCAACCCAACCCATGTTTGGGTTACCCTGCGGCATTGTTCCCCATACTGCAGCAGGACCATTTTGTGGCATCCATTGTAAATTAGGCATGGGTTGGGGTTGAATATTAGGTTGACTACCCTGAGTTTGACCCATCCAATACTCAGGTTGGGGCAAAGCTGGAACACCACCTGTATTCGAGAACGTAGAAGCAAGGTTTGGAACAGCAGGCATAATACCACCACCCCAGTTACCATACCCACCCTGAGGTTGCCCAGGTGTTGTAGGGACAGTACATAAAACATTAGCATCTACGTTTGGGTTCTGAACCAGATGCGGATTTGGGTCTTGGGCTGCATGTTGATTGTGGACCATCATCATGGTAGCTGGCGGTTCACTTATTGCAGTGTTTGTCATAGGGCTAAAGCCGGTACTGGAATGTGTCAAAGCGTTTTCAGAGTTCATTAATGGCTGTACACCAGCACTCACAGATGAAGCCAAAAGAGGAGGAACGCCAGCTGGCAACACCAAACGAGACGGCTCGGAGATGTGATTTTCACCAGGAAATGAAGTTGGAGATGGAAGTGCATTATTAGTTTGTTTAGGAGTGGGAGAAGGAAGGTTGAACGAGTCATTACCACCCCACATTTCACCGCTAACTCCAGCCGGAACCAAACCACTGGGAGCATTTGGAGACACAAGGGTCTGGTCAAGATTTGATCTTTCTCCTTCATGTTTTTGCAGTACAACACCTGCCAAAATTTTATTTTCAGTCACTTTCTGGAACCTTCCGGCCAATGCATCAGTTAGAAGGATAGATTCTTCTTGCTTTTCTGTTGATTTCCATATTCTCAGATCTGCCGGGAAGTATCCAGTGTTGTTCCATTTCCGAAGCTGGACAATAGAAAAAGGTCCTTGATTTTTCCCAGAAGGGTCCTGGTAATGCCATATTTTTTCAGTTTCATTGATTTTGGCCCCACCACCATTATCTGTGGCCTTTGTTGTGGGAGTAACAGGAGAAGAAGACATTGGTACTACACCACCAGAAGTCATTGCAGATCTTGAAATAGTAGTTGTAGAATTCCCCTTTTCCATATTTATATAATCAAGTTGGTCTCTATCTCCTCTTCCTAGACCTAATGAATTTTCATTGATTATTTCACTTGCATGTGTAGCATCTGCACCCTTGGCCAATGTATTTTTACTAGACGAATATCTATCTGGTTCCCAATTTTTAGATTGCATTTTACTACCAACACTGATGTATGGATCTTTGGGAGAAAAGTTGCTTCGAGGAGAAATTGGATCTCTCCCTCTCCAGTTAAAGCTTGAATCTCTTGACCTGGTATAACTATCTGCACAAGCAAAGAACATATTAATTACCAACATGAGGTTAAAGACTAAACATTAGCTAGAAGTTCAAACAATAATCACCTCGTCTATAGTCATCAGTAACAATGTTGTCATCATCTTCAGACTCATAACTTGGATCCATTTTTGGATCGTCGTGAATTTGCGGAATATCATCCAGTCTCCGTTGACGCTCCTCAGGTGTTTTCAAAAGTGCTAATTTTTCCACGCATTCTCTAAGTGTAAGCAATAGTTAAGGCATAATTGGACAGAACTGGTTTAAAGAAAAGTTGAACCCTTTCTGAGGGAAAAATTTACTTTTAATGGAGAGATGTCATTCTCATTTCTTTCTTGCTAGTCGTGAGTAGTACTTGTGAGGTGATCTACAAGTTGGTTTACTTTTTAATCATTTTGCTAGATAAGCACCTGATCAAACCCAAGTTTAGCATCTTGATTGACAGCCGAAGAAAAAAAGCACCAGTTTTTATAACTACTAGGGCTTTTATCTTGCGGAGTATTTGTTTCCTCGTTTTCAGTCCATTGTTGGGCTCCTTTAGCCCATACAAACAAAAACATAACCATCATTTGAAATGGATAAAAGATAGCGCTTATTAGGAAATGGGTAATCGACATTCAAAAGATCAAAATTCCAGGAAACAAACAAAATATATTGCATTCAGCAGATTCTAATATTATACTCCCTCCGTCCCCCAATTAAGTTCCCCCTTTCCTTTTTGGGTAGTCCCTGAATTAAGTTCTCCTTTCCTTATTTGGCAAATTAACTACATCAAAACAATGCCAAACTGTGTAAAAACAGTAAAGTTTACCCCCCGGTAAAAAAATCCTTAATAAGTGTGAAAAGCAATGGTGAACTTAATTGGGGGACGGAGGGAGTATGTAGAAAGAAACATATTTGACCAATAACTTAAATCTAAAAATACTGTTTTGCAACTAATTAGATCTTTTAATATTTATTTATATAAGAGAAAAAAATATAGTAAAGTGAGTTTGAGCAAATATCTAGAGAAATTTAAAACCAATCCCCCCCCCCCAATAATTTCCTTCTATGTTTCCCCTTATATTTCATCCCCAAGCATTTTCCAAGTTCCATTTATACCCTGAAGTGTAAGGATAAATACGGTCACAAGACATAGGTCATATTAAGTGCAAAATTCCTATTGTCCAGAAAATTGCAAGGACCGGGAAGGCTCTATGTGGATAGAGATTAGCAATTAAGCAAGTAGACACTTCACAACCACGCCAAGCTCAAAAATCATAATACACATACTGAGTTGACAATGATAAATTTATTTATGCAGAGAGAAAAATGAAGACTGCACATGGAGAACATAATAAACTTAACAGGGTGTTGAAGGAACAATCTAATCAGAAAGGATATTCTTTACGGCGCCCCTTTTCGCTTGCGCGATCTCGAAGATTTGTTATACGCAGGACCTCTGATTCCAACCACTGCAGATTAATACAGCAGGCATGATAACAAAACACAGTTCTCTAAGACACATCCTTATACAAAAAAAAGTAGTGCATTTTGAGACAACAAGAGCACACTACAGCGGAAAGTGTGGTGGGGTAATGCAGGACTTTAATCATTACTCATCCTGATGATATTCAGGTTAAACATGTAATAATACCTGCAATCCTTTAGCAGGAGTTATGCCCTCCAGTTACATGGGAATATCATTGTGTGTTTGTGTTTGTGTTTGTGTGTGTGTGTGTATACACAGGCGAGAAATGTGTCTAATGTGAGAAATGAGAATATTCTTAGCCGTCGGATTTACGTGTTTCACTAAAATAACTTCATGATGCACTTGGATTTGGTTTTGATGACGTTACACTAAAACAGGTTCATGTTACACTAACGACGTTGCACCAAAACAGCTTCATGTTGCACTAAAGAGATGCATCTTTTAGTGCAACATGGAGCTATTTTACTGCAACATAATTGAATTAATACGTAAGATTCATTATCATTTCTTACTTAAAGGCTTCTTACAAGAACCGCACCCTATGTGTGTGTGTGTGTCTGTGTATTCAATATACGAATGTACAAAAAAATAGAAATGTTCGATTGAGGAAGCATCACAATGGTCGTCATGGCATTGTCTAGCCAATGGTTGCACGCCCAAGTGGTGAAGAACGTCCACCATGGCAGGTCACCTTGCATGAAGAGTGCAATGTCTGACATCGACGAGGCATTCACAACAACGCCCTTAATTGATTATTGATTTATTGCCAAATCAATTTTGATCCGCAAACCTACCTGTTTTCTCCTAACTAATCTAACATTATTGGACTTCAAAAAAGAAAAAGAATGAGAAAGAACTACAGATAAACTGCTGCTCACCAAGAATGAATGCAATTTCCTCATATTATTATTTACTTCTACCCTTTTCTTCATTTTTGTTTCCTTATTCATCTTTGTAGTTCACGTTCTCTATATTACTTTTTTATTCTTTAGATACTATCAATCACATGAATCACATCACTACTTAGTCTAAAGTTTTGTAGTTCAGTTTTTTGGATATAGAAATGGAAATCTTGTTTTGAATTACTATGAGAAATTAGTAACTCATGTACTATAATTTATAATATATATTATATTCATAATTCAAATACTGCATATGGCTACTAGATACCTAATTGCCAACTAAGCAAGCAACTAGTCGCCTGAATGAGAAGTTGGCTTGCCTTTTACTGGCATCACAAGTTGCGTAGCCACTGTGATAACTTTATTCAGTAACTATAAATTTCTTCTTTCTGTACAGCAAAAAATCCACTAGTGAAAAAAGCTAGAACGCAATAATAAACTTACATCACTAACTCTTGCTTCATGCACTTCCATGGCCTTGTCAAGAATCACACCCTGAAAATGGGTAACTCGTGAGCAAAATAACAATATCATGAGTTGAGCTAAACAATATAACTAATTGTGTTTACATTTCTTACCACTGTGGGCCTCTTAACAAGTCCGCATTTCATGCTTTGTCGTAAACGGTTGCATTCATCCTGACAAAATCAATGCAACTCTTTGTAAACAATATAACAAAGACTATAGCGGAGTGGGAGATAACTACAAGTACGCTTAAGTAGAAATAGGTATTGGATTATTATGATCATTATACTAGGAGAACCTATAGATGAAATGACTTTAGAAGTAAGCCACCAAAAAATGACAACGCCTTCCTCTAGAATGAACCTACATTGTTTAATACTCTCTGTTTTTTTGTTTTCCCTGAATTCCTTTTTGGGTAGATTTTTAATATTTGCTACACTTACCTAATTTGGCAAGTTTTGCCATACCAAATACATAAATGCCATTACATTTTCATCTCCTCTTTCTTACTTTTTCTACTTTTTCATCTTCTCTCTCCTACTATTTTACTCTTAGATTCCATGACAGCCCTACTAGTTAAAAAAGGGAGGGTGTATTAAGATTTACCACAGTTATGCACATCTGCAGAAATGATGAACTTTGTGAAGAGTGTGCATAGGACATAAAAAGATGTAGAAAATGAAAACCCAGCATTTTCATTTGAATTAGATGATAAGGCTCAAGTACTGTAATTAAGCATTTAACCAAAGCACGAAGCTAGGAAAGATATTAAACGTAATTAAAAACAGGAGAATGACAGAAACATTTAGTTACATTGCTACAGAATTTCCGTTCCCAGTTTATTATGGAATTAACTAGATGAAACTTTATTTATTTGTATTCAGTTTTATTTTTATTTCGGGAATAAGGCTTGGATGTTGTTATTGTATTTGTATTTAGTTTTAATGGATGTAATAGGATTAACAGAAGATTATTCTTCAAAAGATTATCTGAAGGTGTAATATGAAATTTAAACGGGTTTTTTGATTTGTAACCGTGGGGACATGTTAAGAAGCAATTACTGTTTATTATAGAAAATTGTGTGGTTTATATTAATTCTTCTTTCCTAGATAACCCTTGAGCGCAGAATTTTGTTACCTGAAAACAGTATAAAGAGCAAAGGAAGAGAGAATAATGGGACAGAGGGAGTTAAAAACTACTGAACCATTTATCACCTCAGTGAAGTCTTGATTTGAGATTGTATCAATGGATATGAGCTCTGTCTTGTTCAAATTTAAGATCTCAAGCATGATATCAGTTGTTCTCTTGCCGACCTTATATGGATCAGAAGTTCTGCTCAGACCTGTAACAAAGTCTATTTAGCTCTACTGACTTAATCCAATCTAATTTGAATTAGGCATTAGCAAACCAAAACCTTTGAGGCTTTGACTTCTATGAAAAGAAATTTCAAGGGAGTCCCAAGTATATAACGTCAAAAGATGCAAACTGAAGAAAAAACTACTTCAGTTTATTCTTAATTGCAATTGCACCACAAGGCTTTTCACGGAGATTAAAAGGGAGTAATAAACAGTGTAGGACAAGTAAAAAGTAGGAGAAAGAAGATGAACAGTAAGAATGTTCTGCCACATCTGTAACTGTCCAAAAAGAAAAGTGGAGCAACTAGCAAGTAGTAAAAACTTCCATTAAAGGAAAATGAAGCAAGTAAAAATAAAAGAGTACAAATTTGTAAATCTAGGTAATCACCTATGACTTGAACAAGTCTGTACAGATCTTGCTTTTGGTTGTTACCCGAGATCCTTATTCTCACAAAGGTACCAACAACTTTGTCCTGAAACTTTTCCTCATCTTCAAGCAGGTCCTCCATTAATTTCCTCCGAGCATATATCAGGCCAATGTTATGCATGTCAATAGCTGCATAATCATCGAGATTCGATTGTGGTCCTCGATTATGGCCCTTTTTGCGCTTGTGTTTCCTGTCTTTGACTTCCTTCACAGGTGTGTCTTGATATTCATCTGCCTCCATCTCGGTATCAACAACAGTACCATGGGCATCATCAGTATGAGAATCCTCCTTTAGAAGAAAGTGAGACTCCAATAATTTTAACATTTCAAAATGCATAACGCGTGGTTTTCCAAATAGTCTTTGGAGTCTTGAATCACACATTATTTGACTCATCTTATTTGGAGTTCGAAGTTTGTTTCTTTTTATATACATGAGCAACAACCTCTGCACATCAAATTGAGAAACTGCTGTGGTGTCACCATTTCTCATGTGCTTAACGAAATCAATCAGCTCTTTTGATCCCCACTCACTGTTGCTAGGTGTAGATGTGCCTACACTTCCAGCAATTACAGGCGAACTGGTCATATCATCTTCTTTTGAAAGGGACTTTTGTTTTTTGTTGATCTTTCTTCTTTTTAATCTATTGGCGTCAACCTTCTCACCAGAACTTTCAGAACCAGAATCTCCGTCTTCATTATGGTCATGCTGTTGTTCATTCTGCTCTTGTCTATTTCCAGACACGTCAGATCCTTTCCATGGACTTTTGGCCTCCGCAATTTCTTCCAAAGATAAGGACAGTCTCTCTTTCAAGTCCATATAGTAGTCCTTGAAGAGATACTCCCAACTACTCTTGTCATCGAAATCTACAAGAGACTAGAGCAAATAAGAATCATGTGAGTATTGGTTTCAACGGGTAAAGCACTATATACACAAATGAAATTGTTTCAACGGGCAAGTCGGTGTTATGATACTACCAGTTCACCAAATAACTGTATATTTAGAGAGTAACATGCACTTAAAGTTGAAACTACACATGACTAAAGCATGTATCGTCAACTAGCAAAATATGTTTACATAACTCTACAACATCAAGACAGTAGTATACCTTTATATTCTGAACATTAAGAAGGGACAAAAAAACCTTTTGTTTGAGGTAAATCATTTGAGTATTTTTATGTGAAAAAATTGTTATATGCATGTATCTGAATTAACTTGAGGATGAAAATATGGCACAAGTGCCAAACATTCACATATATCAAGTGAAATGGAAAAGATATAGCTTGTGTGAATTCCCTTTTATCATGGTTATGAAAGAAAAACAAATCAGAACATTCTATTGTAGCAGGAGTTAGAAGTGCCAAGAAACAGCATAGACACTCACGGCTTGTTCAGATGAGATGCAAGGGAGAACAGTTAGTGGAAGGGAATAAAGTCTGACAAATGAAAAGAAAGGAAAAGGAGGAAGGCAAAGAGAAGAGAGGATTAAGTTGCTACTTGCTACTCTGTTCGTGTTTGGGAGACTGGTAAAATGTGGAGGGAAAGACAAATGCATATAGTGCACCTAGGTACCTTACAAGAAGAAAATAGTGTTCACAGAAGGAACCAAGAGTAGAGGGTGTGATAGAAGGTGGCTGTAGATAGGGGTGGGTCGGTGAAACCGAAAATCGAATAAAAAAAAATCGGGTTATTTGGTTTTCGCATCTCAAAACCAAATTGAGCCGAACAAACCGAACTTTTAAAAACTTGCTACTCCCTCCGTATTTAAAAGTTCCCTACACTTTCCTTTTTTAGCTGTATTTAAAAGATCCCTACACTTTCCCTTTTTGGTAAGTTTTTCCTTTAAAAATACTCAATTACCCTTACTTTTTCTACTTTTTATCCTCTCTTTCCTACTTTTTCACCTTCTCTCCTACTTTTTTTATACTATTCATTACATTTACTATTCTACCTTAAATCTTGTGCCATAACCAAACGTAGCGATCTTTGAAATACGGAGGGGGTATTTTATTTATTAATCATTAAGTATAATATTTTTTTAATTCTTAATTCTTAATTCTAGAAAAATAATGTTTGATACTAGGTTTATTATGATTTGCAAGATATTGACATTTAATATTTATGGTTTAATTAAATGAAACGCTTGTACATTCACTTGAGTCTATTGCTATGATACTAATATGTTGATATTTTAAATCATAACTTATATTTTACTTGTTGTTGCATGACAATGATATTTTGTTGATATATTATTTGTTATGTATGTTTGTTATCACATAACTTTTTATATTGAACAAATATGTATTAATACAAACTATACTTTAAACAACATAGCTGAAAGCGTGAAACTTTAGAGTATAAATAACTTTGTCTAAAAAAAAGTAGAATAAGTTATTCACTATTAAGAAAAGTCTTTTAGTAGAAAAGAAAATGAATTAGTGGACACAATATTTACAAATAAAATTTTAACTTGCGAATGCACTATATATAATTCACAAATAAGCTCATGTGTGTAATTAACTTAGAAAATGTTTAAATTGATATACATGTACTCTCTAATTCATTGCTTGGAAGTGCATTTGTTTCTTCTCTCTTTTTTAATTATGTTTTTGTATTGTATTACTATTAATTATAGTTTGATGTAGTTTATTTATTTATTTTTTCAATTACTGTTTTTTTAATCGACAAAAATATTTTTGCAAAATCCAAAAAACCAAACCGAACAATCCTTGGTTCCAATTTTTTGACCATAAAAATGAACCGAACCGAACTTTTTAGTTTGGTTCGGCATTTGGTTTTAGGTGAAAACCGAACCGTTTGAACCGAACCGACCCCTAGCTGTAGAGGGTGAAACACACAACAACAAAAATGGTATAATTATAACCTCACCTCCCCTACACTCCAAATCGGAGTGTAAGAAGGGGAACACCTGCACACCCTTACACAACCTCTATTTCCTTCATGCTTTCTCACCCCTCCAAAAACAGGTAACCATCTACCCTCCTCTCATTGCATTGCTTACTCAGTTACACCTCCATACACTCCATCCAAACAAGTTGTATATGATCATACGCTAACTCCAAACAAATCATAAATGATCATGAAACATGTTGAGCACATTGTCAACCCAAAAAGGGGATAACAATGATCATGTCCAGAGAACAGCAATGATTCACTTTGAGTAGAGCACTTTAGAAAGAGATTCAAGGATTATAAAGGCACATACATCTTCTTTGTCTCCTTGTTGCTGCTTGCTTTCGATAAGCCTGACTGTTCTCATACAGTTTTCACAAAAGCCTTTGTTTCCTCTAATACATAATATAACAGCACTTTTGATGCACCCCTTGCATAAAGAGTAGGTGCATGTATAACACATGTACTGTGCATTCTTCTCACAAATGCTACATAGATGCCAACCTGAAATTGAATAAAAGTGTGATGTGTAGTGTCCATGGATGGACAATAGGGAACGAGTATTTCAAAATTGAAAAGTAAAAGATAGCCACGCAGTAGAACATGATAGCAAACGAAAATGTCATGCTAACTCATTCACTGAAGATAATAAAATGAAAGAATTGAAAGCATAAAATAATAATACTAAAAGGTCTAGCCAAGTAGCCATAAGCCGATAATATTATTAAATAGGTCACCCAAGCCATCAAACCACTACTCAGATTTCAAATTAAAAAATAAAACTAATTTACTATAAGGAGAATAAAATTTTGAAAAGGGGAGGGAAATAAATACATTTCCAGATAATTTCGATATTTCCCAATTGTGTACATGAACCAATTGACACAAAAATACAAAATATAACATCCATTTGTCCAAAGAAAGGAGGAAAAATGAATCCCTCAACTTTTAGGGGGGAATAGCTAAACACAAAAATCATAAAAGCTGGAAGAAATACATCATTGAACTATATATGAGAGAACATATATGCCCCTTAACTATATATTGGAGAACATATATACCCGCAACTATTTGGGCATAAGATTATATATGCTATGGTTTCATAATTTGTGTGTTTAGTAGTTTGAAAAGAAAGTTGATGGGTATATGGTGTATACATATAGTTCAAGGATATCTTTATAGCTTCTCCCTTTGTCCAAATAGGTTGCAGATTTAAAATAGAAGATCACCAGATTGTTTTGAATGAAACTGTGGATTATGAAAGGAAATAGAGTCAATTACATTGAAAAACTATAACTCTTTTGCAAATGACCAAACTATGAAGATTGAGATCTTAATATAAACAACAATAAGATTTTATTATGAATGTAAAAGACACAAATTTACATTTAATAATGATCTTGGATTAACACCAAGATACCAACATCATTAAGTTATTATATAATTACATTATGGTGGCTGTTTACGTTATAAATGCATATATATATTTCTAGAAGTGAAATGCAAAACCACTCACCACAATTCCAACGGCCCTTTGCCCGAAAAAATGCTTCATCACGATTAACACAAGATGGATGATATGCTTTTGGGCAACCCCTAGTAGCACAAGGAAAGCATATGATCAGCAGCATATAATAAAATAATTGTGTACCTCAGAGCTAATACTAATCCAGTAATCCATCCCATACAGGAATCATATTGGACTTAAGTAGCATGGAAGCATGAAAAGGGAAACATGGTAAACAACATCTATAAACAAAAGAATACTTATAATACAGCTTTCCTTAGAGTTTCAAAGTTATGGAACGCTACCCCTAAGAGTTTTGGGCATTTTAGAATGAGAACAAGATGCAACGCAGCAATGTTATAACTCATAATGACCCATGTGCTTTAAAAACTTTTTAAATAGTTTAACCAAAGCTATCATTTCAAACTTGATCATTGCTCTAGTTTGTCACATCTGATAAAAATTTATCTTCACTTTTACCATGAAATAAGTGACTCTTTTTTAAGGAAACAGAAAGTCATAAATATTGTAAACCAGGATGGAGAGCATAAATGATGTGTCAAACTCACCTGCGGTCACAAAGTACGAGATCTCCGCCATCAAAGCAAATGAAGCAAACATCTTCTTCTGTCACTTTTTTTGCTGGAGTTCGTGAGGTTGTCTTAGGAGTAGAAGGGCTCTTAGAATTCTTCCCCTTTTTCCGCTTACCTACAGACGCTTTACCTGAGTCTGCAACATCAGTTTCAGTCTCAACTTCAGTATCTGCAATAGTAGTCTCTTCAGCCATAGTCACCTCGTTTTCTCCAGATTGAGGGTCTTCTTGTGAATCCTCGCATGTTTGAGCAGAAGGAATATCCCTGTCCTCAGCCTCCATTACATCATCTCCATCTGTTTTCCATTCTCTACTGGCTTCCCCAGTTGGAACTGAGTCATCTTCACCATCATCAGCTTTTGTTGTGTACTTTTCATCTGTTTCCAATTGTCTACCAACTTCCACAGTTGGAATGGAGGCAGCTCCATCTTCCTCGGCCTTCATATCATCCTCTCCATCTGTTTCCAATTCTCTACTAGCTTCCACAGTTGGAATTGAGGCAACTTCGTCTTCTTCGTCCTTCATATCCTCCTCTCCATCTGTTCCCAATTGTCTACTAGCTTCCACAATTGGAATTGAGGCAACTTCGTCTTCTTCAGCCTTTGTAGCCTCCTCTCCATCTGTTTCCTCTCTACTAGCATCCTCACTTGGAGTTGAAGCAGCTTCATCTTCTTTGTACTTTGTTGCATCTTCTAGATCTGTTTCCATTTCTCTACTAGCTACCGCAGTCGGAAATGGATCAGGTTCATCTTCTTTGTCTATTGTTGTCTCATTTCCACTTGTTTCCATTTCTTTATCAGCTTCCATGGGTTGAAATGAAGCAGCCCCTTCAACTTCGACCTTCCTTTCGCTTTCCCCATCGGTTCCTGATTCTCTAGTAGCTTCCACAGCTGGAAATGAAGCATCTACATCATCTCCAGTCTTTGTTGTGGTGTTTCCATCTGTCTCCAAGTCTCTATTAGCTTCACTGGTTGGAATATCTGTAACCATTAAATCCACTGCCTCAGAATTATCACCATCAAGCTGAAAATTGTCAGAAGAAGCAAAAACAGTGGCTGCTCCAACCTCAATATCCAACGCATGTTCAATGTCTGGTTCTAAAACTGGAGCCGGGTGTGGCACAATTTCATTAAGTGACTGGCCCGTAGTAACAATGGTCTCGCATCCACTTTCTGGTTCCAGATGCTCAAGGGCACTTACTTCAGTCTGCACGTGAGACTTAGATTCTGATGTCACAACCGGAGCTGCCTCTACCACGGCCTCTTTATGCGTATCATCATTGCTATTAAGAACAGTCTCCTCTTTCGCCCACACCTCTTCCTCTCTCCCCTCATTACGAGAGCTAAACATTTCGGCAGCGCCTTCATCTCCAACTCCCACCTCCATGGGAGGATTAACCATACCAAATACAGCCTCCTCTCCAGTCCCTTCCTCAATTCTCAAATCAACCGTATCAGCGATAGACTCCTCTCTATGTCCCGTCTCCATTTCCATGTTGGTCTCCGGAGACAATGCATCAAAGGTTCTTGGAAGCCCGGTACCGGCTTCGTTGAGCACATTCGGTTCCGGATGGGAAACGTATGGTTCCGTTTCAGTGAGGTTAACACCCCCGTTCGCCTCCTCGAGCAAGGGTTTATCCACCTTCGGTACAGTTACTTCCCCATCGGCCATGGCAAAATCGATTCCAAACCCTAGCAGTATGTTTTTATACCACTCTATTTGGTTTTCTTGGATGGTCAAGAGAGAGAAATAAAATGTACTCCATCCTTAAAGAAAAAATCTTCATTTTTGGTCCGTAACAAAAAAATCTTCTCACTTCTAAACCTTTTCATCATACCCTCAATAATTCTAAAAATAATACATTATTACAACTACTTTTTTTATTTATCCTGCATTCCATCACATTATTCCACTATCTTCCCATCATACCCTCAATAATTCATATCCTGTTTCACTATTCTTAATCTACCTACTTTTGAAATGGAAAGGTTTTTAAGTTACGCAGATAGTATGGTCAACGCCACACCTGGTGGAGAGAGCAACATTTTTCCTTCAAAATTGCTATGGGTACCTCAAATGGTACCTCATTCATACCTCATATAAAAACCCTTCCCCATTTTCACCTCACTCCCTTTCCCATTTAAAAAATTTACCCCCAACTCTCTTCTTCATTCCAAAACTCCACACCAGCCCTCTACCAACTCTCTGCACTCCCCTGCGACAACACCATCCCCTCTTTCTCACTGTGACAACACCGGCCAACACTCCCCTGCGACAACACCCTCCGCGACAACACCGGCCAACACTCCTTCCGTCTCACCCTCCCCTCGTCTCATCCTCCTTTTTTTTTGTGTTTCGAACGGAGAGCTACAGTGCTAGGGCGAAAGGAGGTCATCCATGGACACCATTTGCAACCCTCTTCAATAGAGTTGAGCTACAGATTGTCCACAGACTCCCCCCCCCCCCCCCCCCCCCCCGTATGCCTTTTTCTCCCTTTTTCATCTTTCTTCATTTTTTATTATTTATTTATTTTAATTCATATGTAATACTCTATGTATCTTGTAATGTTAATGGTTGAATATCTTGTGTTATAGTGATGAATTTGTGATGTTTATTCCTACAATTTTAGTCCAACTATTCTAGGTCATTAATATGCCCATAACATGTTTGTTGAAATGCTTAAATGAATTTTTTGTTTATGTCCTCTTATGCTATAAGGATTTTGGATTTTTGTTTTACTAGTATAAGTTTCAACTTTAAATTGTGCATATTGTTGTCTGGTATATTACTTGAAGTGCATATATGGTTGACTTCTCTTAGTAGTTGGTAATGGGTTAGTATTTTAAAAATTGTTTGTAGTTGTCTTTCATGTGAAATTAGTTGTCTGGCAAGCCATTTGAGTTGTCTGTCACTTCATTTTGAACTGTTGCAACTAGGTTTGTAGTTGTCTTTCACTTCATTTTGAACTGTTGAAACTTGGTTTGTAGTTGTCTGTCATGTGAAATTAGTTGTCTGGCAAGCCATTTGAGTTGTCTGTCACTTTATTTTGTACTGTTGAAACTTGGTTTGTAGTTGTCTGTCATGTGAAATTAGTTGTCTGGAAAGCCATTTGAGTTGTCTGTAGGGTATTCAATTCAACCTTTATTACAATACATAAATTGTCTGTATAAGGGTCATAAATATCTTGGTTATACTTGTCTGTCTACAGCATTTTGGATTTTTGTTACAATCCTCTTATGTTTTAAGGATTTTGGATTTTTGTTTTACTAGCATAAGTTTCAACTTTAAATTGTGCATATTAGGAATGTTTCAGATAGTAAGTATTCCAAACCTTGAGTTATTTGAGTTGTCTGTATTTGTTTTTTAGACTTGAGGAGTTGTCTGTTACTTGCAAAATAGACGTCTGTAATTGATATTTAATTGAATTGTCTGTCATTTTCTTGTTAGTTGTCTGTATTTGTTTGAGTTGTCTGTAATGACTTGTCTGTCATGTTGTTGTGATAAGTCTGTAAGAGTAGTGAAGTTGTCTGTCATTTTAAAAATAGATGTCTGTAATTTATATTTACTTGTCTGTGTTAAGTGTCTGTCTGTGCTTTATTTGTCTGTCTGCAGATCTGGAGAAGTTAATGCTTACAGATTATGACTACACCAACATGTCGAACAAAAGACTTGAATTTGCTATTGAATTTTGCCGCTTGAAGAAGGCTGAAGCATAGAGTGTTAGAGAAATGTATCGATTTTGAACTTCTGATATTTCTAATGTGTATTTTTTTTACAAACATTACATATTACAGTTGGGGAAATGGGTCAAATATTGTACAATGTTGAAGAATTGGATTGGTTTTTTGAACATGTGTAAGTTTTTGCAAACATTACATGTATAATTATCCAGTTATGTGTGTTGATTTTTTTGTGTGTCTGGGTACCGTATTGTTTGTATGTGTAAACTTATTGTCTCTCTGTATAAAACTAATGTCTGTCTGATTATTCTATTGTCTGTCTAGATATATGTATTGTCTGTCTTTTTTACGAAACATATGCCAAAAATGGTAATCGATAACAAACTAATGCATGTATGTGTATACCTAATGTTAACAATGATAATTCACAACAAATTAATGTTTCAATCCAACCTCTTATTATCAAACATTGCGTTAGTACGAGAAATTAATTAACTTCTCAAAAAACTGGTTTCTTCATACCAACATCAGGGCCTTTAATACAACTGTTTTCTTTCATTTCATCTGTTATTCCAAATGAATATAAATGTTCAAAATAATAAAGTTCCACATTTCTAAGGAGTTCCTTTGTTTCCTCCACACTCTTCAATCACCACAAACGAATAGTGTATTGACATCTCTTGTTCCACATGTTTGCATATTCACACTTTGGAACCAAGGGCTTTCCCATGAACAGGTGCTCTGCAAAGGATGCAACCATCGCTCCACATTCTTCGGACCTGTAGATAGACTAGTATAACCAATACAGATATTTACGATACATACAGACAATTTATGTATTGTAATAAAGGTTGAATTGAATACCCTACAGACAACTCAAAAGGCTTGCCAGACAACTAATTTCACATGACAGACAACTACAAACCTAGTTCCAACAGTTCAAAATGAAGTGACAGACAACTCAAATGGCTTGCCAGAAAACTAATTTCACATGACAGACAACTACAAACCTAGTTGCAACAGTTCAAAATGAAGTGACAGACAACTCAAATGGCTTGCCAGACAACTAATTTCACATGACAGACAACTGCAAACAATTTTTAAACTACTAACCCATTACCAACTACTAAGAGAAATCAACCATATATGCACTTCAAGTAATACACCAGACAACAATATGCACAATTTAAAGTTGAAACTTATACTAGTAAAACAAAAATCCAAAATCCTTATAACATAAGAGGACATGACATAAACAAAAAAATCATTTAAGCATTTCAGCAAACATGTTATGGGCATATTAATGACCTAGAATAGTTGGACTAAAATTGTAAGAATAAACATCACAAATTCATCACAATAACACAAGATATTCAACCATTAACATTGCAAGATATATATAGAGTATTACATATGAATTAAAAACTAAATAAAAAAAATGAAGAAAGATGAAAAAGGGAGAAAGAGGCATACTGGGGGGAGTCTGTGGACAATCTGTAGCTCAACTCCATTGAAGAGGGTTGTAAATGGTGTCCATGGATGACCTCCTTTCGCCCTAACACTGTAGCTCTCCATTCGAAACACACACACAAAAAGGGGGGGAGGGTGAGATGAGGGGAGGGTGAGACGGAAGGAGTGTTGGCCGGTGTTGTCGCGGAGGGTGTTGTCGCAGGGGAGTGTTGGCCGGTGTTGTCGCGGTGAGAAAGAGGGGAGGGTGTTGTCGCAGGGGAGTGCAGAGAGTTGGTAGAGGGCTGGTGTGGAGTTTTGGAAGGAAGAGGAGAGTTGGGGGTAAATTGTTTAAATGGGAAAGGGAGTGAGGTAAAAATGGGGAAGGGTTTTTATATGGGGTATGAATGAGGTACCTTTTGAGGTACCCATAGCAATTTTGTTTTTCCTTTGGGTTACCAATTACCATTGCCGGTTGGCACCTTCATTTTTTCTAGGGAAAACGGTCAGCTCCTCGAACATTCTTAGGTCAAATAAGTCATTATATAGGAGGTTCTGCTCGGCCGTCGCGATTTGGGGCGGTTCCCGGTGGAATTTTTTGATGAAAAGTTTTGAACATCTTATTCATCAAGTCTAGTTTACGCATACCAAATTTCAGCTAAAACTTCAATCGGGAACGCATTCAAATAAATGCACAGTTATCTTCAAAAATTAATTTAAATGTGTTCCTGATTGAAGTTTTAGCTGAAATAAGATGCTCAAAAAAATCCACCGGGAACCGCCCCAAATTGCGACGGCCGGACAGAGCCTCCTATATAAAGACTTATTTGACCTTTTTATGAAAGTTCGAGGACCTATTTGACAGTTTTCCCATTTTCTAGGGTAAACGAATTTGAAAATTTCAAATTAAAAGTCTGGTGTTGTCGAAACATGACATTAATTAGTCATATCTTGATAATAAAACATGATAGTCATATTTTGGTATATACAAAAGTTTTCAATCATATTTAGGGTAATTTTCCCTTTTTATTGTTCTCACTCTTATATAATCTTTCTATGAAAGTTTCCTTTTTGTGTGTGAATTCTGTTCACATATAAAATGTCTTACTACCTCCGTCCCGGTGGACTTTGTCAAATGCAAAGTATGTGAGAAATAAGAATAGTAAAAATTGTGTGGTTGAAATTTGTGCAGAGGAGAGAGAAATGTGTAGAACCACAAATTAGTTGCTTTAATAGGAAAGTGGCAAAGTTTTTGGGTTAACAAAAAAGGTAAAACTGGAAAAGTCCAATGGGACGAAGGGAGTATTTTTTTTATGTGGAAATAGAAACGGTTTTCCTTTCGGTTTGCCACTTCCAGACCGGTTAACATCTTTATTTTTCAACCATTCTTGTTGTACTCACTCTTATACCCGCATATGTGAAGGCTTCTTTTTGTCTGTGAATTCCCTTCAAAGACATATTTTGTCTGTGAAGGGAATTCACAGGAAAAAAACATTTCACAGACATGATGAGTATATGGCATGGTGGGTATAAAAGTGGGTATGAGTGTGTTACAAACATCAAATTTCTTCATTTTTAAAACAAAATCCTATTAGTATATACTA